TGTAATTCTCGGAGATGCTGGCGTGGTACTGTAGCTAATGTTATCTTGTAAACATACTCTAAAAATGAAACTCTTAATTGGCCTAAGATTGTTCATTTGAGACGCTCGAATACTGCTAGACATCTTTTCTACTTTATTTCTTTTCAAGAGCATGGCAAAAAAAGTAAGACTTTTTTTATAAGAAACGTATTATTGGTATTGTAACAATGTACAAAAGTACTTATTATTATTCTTCCTCCTTTTATTTTCCTCTGCAGTAATAATCACTGCAGCATTAAATATTAATGAGATTTATTCAATGCTGATTTCTTCCCTCTCATTCCAAATTTTTTTCTTTGATGTGTCAGTTCCAAAGAAATTTTTAAAGAGTTCTTAAAAATACTTACGTTAATAAGGATCTATTTCGAATAATCCGATTTCAAACTCAGATATTTAATTAAAAATTATCATTCATTTATGTAAGAATGTGCATTCTAACGATCCACGATTTCTAAACGATTATTTCGATAATTCCGTTGGTGAATGTTTTCTAACCCTCTCGATTCACAGATCAACCATACGGCAAAGTTGTGCGTTTTGAGAATAATTTTACAATAATGCTATTAAGTTTCAAAGGAATATTTTATGCTTTTTCTACAGTTTAGGAACTGAAGGATGCGGTTGAAAAAAAAATGCAATCAATTTTCTTTCTTTTAAACTACAATTTAAATTTAAAGTTGATTTTACTATTTATTCGAAGAACAATAATTAAGATGATGGGGTTTAAATGCTGAAACGATGTTCTCAAAAATTAATGTTAAATAAATTCATCCTCTACATACTTAAACCAACCTAACCAAACCTTGGAGATAAAAAATCTATTGATCCTTATTGTAATATTATAAGATAAAACAATTGTGGAAACTATCTCAAGTAAGGCAATAAATAATCAACCAAAATGTATTTAAATAATAAAAAAATCAATGATATCGTAGGCTTCCGCGGCCAGTCATGACAGCCCAGAACAATAAAAAATTAGTTGCAACAGTTCAATACTGTGCATTCAACAGTCACTAACTGGAGTCACTGTAACGCGTGAAAGCGTGCATGCATGATGTAGAGACAAAAAGCGGTTGCTCATAATGTTTAATGTGCTTGGTTATACAGACTAGACTAGGCGTCGGATCCTCTGGTCACGATATTTAGTTCACAGAATTAGGCCGCGAATTTCACCTAGGCTTCCAACAGATATTCTGAACACCAAATATGAGCATCACCGAACAAAGGCACATGAGCAGATATCTTCATGCAAAACGATGGAAGGGCTGTGTCCAGGCGACCAGATGGGAGATACACGAGGGGCGTTCAAGTTCTAATGTCTCAGATCTTTTTTCACTGTACTGGGCGCCGATAGAAACACGCGATTTAGTTTAAATTCGCGTGCACATTTTGTGTGTGTGTGATAGAGTTGGCAGTTGCAGAGCTCAGAGAATTCAAGTGGCTGCGGTCAGAGTGAGCGATGGTTTTGGTACCAGAAATGGCGACAGTTTCGTTGCAAGAAGAGCGAGTAATCATTCATTTTCTTCACTTCCGTGACGTGACTACCATTGAAATTCGTCGCCAGTTGGCTGAGACGTTTGGTGATGGAGTCCTGAATGTGCGTTCGTGGGTGCGAAACGACGTGCATATGACGCTTTTTGTCGCTGCTCGATCAATAGAACCCTTAAAACGTCCTTGGTGCGTAAATAACTGTCATATAATTTATATATATATATACATACATTTATTGATAAATGTTTTTTGTATGTATTTTATATTTTATTTAATTTTTATATATTTCTGAACATTTTTATATAATTTTTTATGTTGTTTTCCGACAAATGTGCACCTTTAAAAAAGGAAAAATTACTTCAATATATTTATTTTAAATAGTACGACTTTTATTTATTTGTGTACATAATTTAATTGGGAAGTAAATACTCTACAAATACGTAATCTTCCTCAGATGACGAATTGTCGATGGTCTCAGAAATTTAAAGAAAACTAGGTGGATATGTGCAAAAATAAATTTGTAAATTACTATTTTAAAATGAAAATATCTTCAAATTTTTGAACACCATTGCTACAGAGTGAAGTCTCCAAAATATCATAGAATGTCATAGAATATATCATTGCTTTGATAACGACTTATCCAAAGGTGTTAGGAAAACATGGTTTTAAGGGTCTATGACCAATAGTTTCACTGATTGGTGTTGTATGTGCGGTGTCCTAGTAAGTTGCCGTGTGCTACCGAGATAATTGGTATTACGGAGATAATCTGCCAACTTCTATTTTTTCATCTGAAACCATTGTGATTCAGGTCTTGGGTAATTTCATATCAAGCACAGTTACCTGTCGGAATGTTTGCTATAAAAATTACAAAATAATCAGGCTTCCTTCCCCTATTTTATATGAAGAGGGTAGCCTAACATGTGGAATTTACGTTTGAATGAAAGTTATACTTATTTTCATGTCAAATATTTTCTTAAATAATTACAATCACGTAATACTATGAACACAAGAAAAAGAAGAGGCACCGAATTCTGACTTTTTTTAAAATGACATCCATCGACAGCCTAAATTTTTAAAATCTGCTAAACTAATGGAACATGATATACAGGAAAACTAACTTTAATACACTATAAGGTAATTTTTATTTGAGATCTTTATTTAAAAAAAATAAATTCAAAATAATATATTTGAAATTAAAGTTTTGTATAATTTTTCATATAATTAATTTCACATTTCTGTAATTAAAAATAACTTCCATTTACGTCCTTTCAACAAGACGAACGCCGTTGACAATTGCCCCCGTGCATGGCCCATGTGCACGTGCTGCAACATCCATCGTAGACGCGCCAGCGGTAAGCGGCACGTGGCCGCGCGCGTCCGCGGCCGTCACGTGGCCGGGAGCACGTGTGACCCGGGCCGAGCCGCGCTGCGTCGTTCCCTCACGGGCTGCAGACGCGCGTCGCCGCTGGCCCGGCCACCTCTCTGCACAGCTTCTCTTTTCTCCTGGCAGCGCCACAGTACGCGCGCCGCGCCGTCCCGCCCCCAGGAGCCCGCAAGACGTAAGGCCCCTGTGTCTTACGGCGTCAACCCGGCGCGGCGGGAAGGAAGGAGAAACAGAGCCACGTGATTACGATATTGATGTAATCGGGGGCGGATTTTCATGTCCTAAAACATCGCCAAAAACGATCAATAAAATGCTCTTATAATGTTTTAAAAGTGCCTTAAAAGCAAAGAAAAATGATGTAAAAAATGTGATCAAAACTAGTTCGGATGAACACCTTAATCAGTTGGATAGGTTACTGACGTAATTGCGTATTCTTCCTTTTGTTTAAGTGAACCTGGAAAATCTGTCTTTAGTTATCCAAAAACGGCGGATCTGACAATTGCGCTCTATGCGTCTCACGAAGATTTCATTCAACGGCTGACATTACTATTTCTGAGCGAAGAAATAGAATAGGCTACTTAGTACATTTGATAACATTCATTGCAACTCGTAAATATTATTTGTAGCAAGTATCATTAAAATGATTTTAAAATCGACGAAATCCGCAAAAAATGCGGCAAAAATGACGAGTAAAAGTAAAAAATCACTTATTAGTCAAAAAATGCAAAAAGAGACATTTTCTTTTGTCATAACATAAAATTAAATATTAAATTCTATATTAAAAAGCTTTTCTAGAAAGTGAAAAGACAAAAATATTTCATTATAATCCGAACTCTGATGACAGTGAGAGAGATCTTGAATTGATTAACTGTTTTCGTTTTGGTCACATACAGTGCTATGGTTATTAGTTCCTTTGGTGTTCTGAATGGTGTTTTTGCGAGAGGTGGCAGTGTTCCAACCCCCTGAGCTAACCTCGGCCTGCGACCTACACCTGTGTTTAGCGAAGGGTTTTCCTTCCAGAATCACCCTCTAACACGCACCACTGGCCCCTGCCGGACACCAGCTCTATCCCCCGATAGGCCTCGGACATGTGTGGAAGAGTAGTGCATGTCATGCAAGTGTGTGGTGGGGAGAGGGTAGGACACGGATGAGGAAGGGAAGATCGCGAGCGTTCTCGTGGCTTCGTTTTCTCTACGGCTACTACCTACTGGCAATCGATCCCTGGTCTTGTACAGAGAAACCACAGGAAACCACCGATCAGAACAGCCCGCCGCTAGAATTCTCCTTCAAACAGCGTCAGAATTCGACCTAGCTAAATAGCTCGAATCAAAAATACGTCACTGGCGTTGCTAATGACGTACTGCTATGCACACAAACACACATTCCCAAATCGGCGTCGCTAGTGACGTACTAGACTTTAGGAAATACCTGTCCGAAATAATGCAGTTGTAAGTAGTAATGATGACTGTGGTGATTCATAATAAATCACTGAGTCCTTGGCAATCTCCAGAGACTTGACATATCCATTCGTCTACGGTTCTATTCTACTATCGGCAGTAAATTAAGACTGCTGGCGATATTTAGTGACAGCCTCATTTGCATTTTGCCTCCCGGGCCTTTCCCCTCCCGGCCCTTTCCCCTCCCGGCACTTTCCCCTCCCGGCACTTCCCCCTCCCGTCCCTTTACCCTCCCGGCCCTTTCCATAAAGAGAAAAATATCAGTGTCATTCATTTCTTGATTGCTCTGTTTGAAAAAAACATTCGAGTCCTGTAAATTCATTTCCTAGACATGGTGGCCAAAGTATATTGTTAGGTAGAGGTTGATGACGAAGCAAATTATTTTACCCTAGGGTCGTCACGCTAGTGCAGATTTAAATATACACCTGCTGACTCAAGGCCGATCGTGGGACGGATGAAATAAATGTTTAGGGAAGGATTGAAAAAGAAAACATATTCGTACCAATGTGTTTCTTTGTTTATTTTTCAGACGAATCTTAAAACAAGACGTTTCTCCACAACAAACATTTTCAAATAATAATAGAAGATAACTGTAAATACATTTTAATATTAATGCTGTTAGTAACAAAATGGAAAAACGTATTGTTAATTTGCGAGTAATCCGCATCATGAATTTCATGTGTAAGCACAAACTTCTTGACGTCGAGTATGAAATTTTAGTTGACTTTCCTCTTCAGCAAGCCAGTGACAGAAGTGTAAATTAACCGGTCCAACACGGAAACACATTACGAATGCCACAAGGAAAACCATATTACGAATTGATCAGTGTGTGGCGGGCGCATGAATGCATATATATATATAGGTGGTTCCATAAGTTTGCGGCCTGACCAGGACAACGCTCCTCTGTGTGATAACCGTCTGAGCAGTACATAGTCTTATTTTCAATTGTAAAGATAAAAGGTAGCCGCCGACATCTCACTCAGTTTTAAGCTGAGAGATATTTCAATAGAGTCCGGTGCGTGAAATTTCGTGGTGTTTTGCTTCTTCACCATAACACACCTGTGCTTATTCCTTTAATTGAAAATAATGTAGTGAAGGACTATGACTTAAAGGGGGTTGGACCATTCACACTACAGTCCACATAGGGCACACTGCGACATCTACCACTTATCAAAACTGAACAAAAGTCTTCGGGTAAGTCTAGTTTCAGACGAGAGGAAGGTGAAAGAAGCAGCTTATTTCCATTTCACGAACAAATGTTTTCAAATGCCTAGAAACGGTAGTATACAGATTGAAAGTGTGTTGGCTTAAAGGAAGATAAAGTTGAAAAGTAACGTAATCTTGTTCCCTGCATCAAAAATAGAAGTTAGTGAGGCCAGAAACTTACGGAATCGACGGCGTATGAGTGCAAGACCGAGTGTGTGAGTGAGTTCGCACGCACGCGTGTGTTCGAGAGCTAACGCATAATCTCACAGCTTCCCCTGATCTGATTGTGACGCAAGCATTCTCAGATAATGAACTGAAACGTACGTTAATGTGCTTGCACACATTGCATTTGGGCTCGGAAAAGTGCCATTACAAAATCTCAACCCTGTTCAAAATATTTAATTCGTATTCATTTTTTATAAATACGCGTAAGTAACAATGTTGAGCCTTGAAAAACGGCTCGTAACAATGTATTACGTATAAATTCAGACCACGAAGCGACTCTGTGCACACAGGTAAAGACGAAAAAAAGTGGGCACAGTTCCGCTCCGCGCAAATTTTGCGTGAGAGCGTATATATCGTTACACTAGTTTGGTATTTCTAAGTGAATTCATTACCACCATCTTCATCACAATTTAATCCCGAACTTCCAGATAATGTGGTGAAGTATAGATTTCCCTCTGCATCCGTTAACATTAAATTATTATGTTAATATTATAATGAGCATGACTAACATATGCGTCAAATCTTCTAATGTTTGAATGATGTTATGAATGCCTACTCAGAATCGAGCCAGCGACGAGAGGTTCAACATCTTTCTACCCTGTATCTTCACACCAAGGTTTAACGCCTGCAGGTAGTTGAGTTCGCTGCGCAGGTTTACATTGACCGTGCGGGCCATGCTCGCTGATACATTGCTCAACCAGTGTTCCAAAATTAAGCACACATCTGGTCAAGATAAGCAAATAAAATACTCTCGTATAACACTGAAATAACGTATGAATTTAAACAAAGATTACTTCAAGAATGTCGCAATTTCATATACAGATAAACAATTTAACAGTTCTTTGCATACCAAGAATGTAAAACAAAAAACGGCTATTTTGCAACGCAATATGTGAATAGCCATTATTTTATATTAATTGTCAATTGGCTGTCGCCATTTAGGAAAGGTAATTACGTGGCACAGGTAATTTTTCCTGTGATGTGACCTACAATGTAAAAACGTATTTTAATAATTTAAAATGTTCAAACAATTGCCACCGCAACCGAGAAACGAACCCGGGTCTCTTGGTTTTAACTCATTTGCCCTGATAGGGTCGTGACAATGTATCATATTTTGATCAACATATCTGGCCTAAGAAACCGTTCAAAAAATGGTCGACTCTGGCTGCTCACTAGTGAAAGTGGCTGGGCGTAGGCCAGGAGACCCGTGTTCTATTTTTTAAAACAATTTAAATTATGTGATATTTAATAGCGGTAACCTCTTCTTTGGAGACTTGCTGTTCAATGACATTATAGCGGTGTCGTAAAAAGTGATGCACTAAGTGTGTGCATTGAAGACTTCGCACAGTAGAGCAAACAATTATTTGCATTTTTCAGTCAACATCAAAACCTCTATTGTTTTAAGATTGATTTTGAGTTCCTGGATATCTAACGAAATCGGACACATCTCACTATGACGGATGCTGCATAATTTTCTTCAAATTTCTGCACGCATTGGAACATAGTAAAATATATGATTTTGTATATTTACTGTTCCTCTCTGTCAAGCCTGGAGGTTGCATAATTTTGTTTCATGTTCTGCAAGCGTTGGAAATTATTAAAAATATATTTTTTAAGTGCAAAAGTAATATTAATTTTCAAGTACCTGTGGAAAATTTGCTTATTTTCAAAGGTATTGAAGGTAAATAATCATAATGTTGCACATTGTTAATAACACACGTGATAATTAACCTATTTTATTATTCCATTGCCAATTTGGATTATTAAAATAACTGTCGTATTTAGAACATCTGTGACTTGATGTTTCACTTACTTTTAAGAATTTCAATTTTTAAAACTAACAATGTACTGTCATTGCGTACATGTTTAAAGACGTGAGCTATAATCGTAATTTACTTGTCAGAGTTCAGAGACCTTTTCTCGGAGTAAACAAGTGGAAGATAGGACGGAAAAAGAAATTAACACTAGTATCTTCAGAGTTTAAAATATCATGGAAAATAAAGAACAACTCTCTTTGATTTGAAGCTTCCCACCGTTCTAAAAGTATGGTCATTGCTGTTGTAACAATCTTTCTTCAACAGATATTCAGATTAATCAATACATAGACGTTTCTTGGAGCCACTGTACGTCACTATTCCTAGAGAACTAATATTTGAGAACTAATCTTACATTCGCGTGTCGCATTTTGAGTATTCAGTAAAAAATACAAGAAGTTTCTTTGACGTAACGTACTTAGTTACTAAATGTTTCAGCACTTTACATGCAGAAGAAGAAGAGTCATTTTTGAAAACCACTTGCGTCATATGGACCCATTAACCTCACATTCGAAATACTGTCAACGATTTGGCCTTTAACATTTTACTATATACGAAAATGGCATGCATCTTCTCTAATTATTTTGAATGTATTTTACCTTTCAGGTTGTAGGGGAATATGGAACTTGGGTGATTCAGCGATTACAAGAAGCACATGAGTGACATGACGTGAACCTTCTTGCGGTAAGTCCAATATTTTGAATTTTATATTAACTTTAGAAGAACTCATTGAGATACAATTTGATGTAAAAAATATAATTCTTCTTTACATTGTGTTAAATACCGCTTATTCTTTTATGGGAAATATATTTTGCTGGATGTTAATATTATATTATTGTGGTTAGATTTTCTAATTATATGTTCACCCATGATAATTCATACCTTTCAGCCAAATCGACAGGGTTTAATACTTGATTCGAGTGTATTAGAAAAAAGTGAGAACATTATAGAAACTTATGTGTTGCGCTATTCATTGCATATTCTTTAAAACTTACAACACGAATTCCTTCCAATCTGCATCAGTAATGACTAACTCCTACTCTGCCGTTCACATCTGAATTGTCCGATAATCCTGGCGTTCTTGTATTCAGCCACCCTACGACAGTTTCGTATATGTCACATTTCTACAGGTTTAAGACGTCTTGCTTTATTAATATCTGAGGGCCAAGCGAAGTGGCTCAGGGCGTAGCGCGCTGACGTCGCGTTCGAGAAGATCGGGTTCAATTCTCGTTCCGGCTATCCTGACCTGAGTTTCGGTCATTTAGGCGTATGCTGGGATGGTTCTGTTGAAAGGACACGACCGCGAAACCGGCCTCGCTATCCGAATTTGTTAACTACGTGAATTCATGAAGGTTAAGCGAATTCGAGACATCGTGGATTCCTGCTTGGTCTCCAACTTATAATCCTGGGATCTAACGGTGCCGAGGCCAATTGTCCTTTACGGGACATATAACGGATAAATACAAATTACTGAGGTTGTGGCTTTTGTGTACAATATTTTGATAGTCCGTATGCATGCGTACGTGCGTGCATGTTGTTCTTATGTTCAGTGCCGTTTCATGGTGTATACGTCCGTTTCCAATTAGTTTTTTCAGTGGCCAGCCCGGATGGGCAGCCAAGGCAGGAAGGGCGGGACGGGGCGAGGCGGGACGGGGCGAGGCGGGGACGGCGGGCGGAACGAGGGCGACGACGGCGAGCGGGAACGGGGAGCGGGGCGGATCGGGCGGTACGGGACGGGTCGAGGCGGGACGGGACGGTCGAGGCGGGGACGGGAACGGGTCGAGGCGGGACGGGACGGGTCGAGGCGGGCGGGGACGGGACGGGTCGAGGCGGGACGGGGAGCGGGACGGGACGGGGCGAGCGGGACGGGACGGGACGGGGCGAGGCGTGGACGGGACGGGTCGGAGGCGGAGGACGGGCGAGGGTGGAGGGCGACGGACGGGTCGAGGCGGGACGGGACGGGGCGAGAAGGGAAGAGGAGAGGCGGAACAGGCAGCCAAGGCGGCCGGTACGAGAATGGCGGGACGGACGGTCAAGGTGAGGCAGGATGGGACACGCGAGGCGGGGCGGGCGAGCGCGCGGTCGGACACGGAGCGGCGCGGCGCCGCGCTGTCGCCTCTCAATGGAAAAGTTCGGCGCGTATCTGCGCCCACTGCGCTGTTTATAGAACGCTGTTTGTGCGCTTTATCTGCGCGCGGCGGGCGCTGCGCACGGTCGCGACCTCGTACGCGCGGTCAACTACGCGTTGGGAAAATTTCGAGGGGAACAATAATAAAAGTATCGATTGTATCTTTTTATCATTCCAAAAGGCTGACCCCGGTCAGTGTTCTTTCTAGGATCGTGTTGACCCTCCGAGCCGGAAATGACGTTTATGCACTTGTGAAAGATGTGTTTTGTTCACCTTCATAAATTGTACACAAAGGAATTGGATCGTATTTAATAAAGGAAAATTCATGATCTTGAACTATTTACTATCATCAATAGGTGGTTATTCATTTTGCTTTTTCATACTAATACACACCAGTATAGATTAAGTGACGTAATGCTGTGAAAAAGGGAAATCACTACTTCGACAGAAAAGCGTTTGGGACTCCCTCTTCTTTCTTTCCTAATAGTACGTCTGTCAGATAAATGCCACCGCCACCGCCTAAACTCTACTAGGATTGTTTCCAAAATAGTTCAAGTGTTTTCTTTAAACGAGTTAGAAAAAGTGTAATTCACTATAATATTCTATGAGTTTTTCAAAGGTGAATTCTCTGTATTCAATAGATACAATGTCATTTTAATAAAAATCTCGAACTTTGAAAAACTAGAGAGAATTTGTTTTCGTTTTTTTTATCTACTGCGCTTCGTTTAGTGAGAAAGTTTTCGAGAAGTTTCAATATTACGATATAACTTCTGTTTGACAGTTACTGAACACAAGCGTGGAGAGGGGATGTGAAAAATGGATAAAATTGGAATTCGTGATTTTATTTTGTCTCTTCCACAGAAGAGAGAACGCAAAAGAGATTCACGAAATAGTTGCGTCTGAAATGGGTGACTTCTCTTCTTCTTGGGACTTCGGGTCAACGAACTATCAAGGGAGGCGCAACAAGTAACGGCGATAAACCGCGACAAGGGGAAACCAAATTTACGTTCTTTAGTTTTGGGACGTGTATGACTTTTTAATTTTTTTCTACTAAGTGTCGAAGCCATTTAGATATATGTATGACTGAACTCCGTACAATGGTTAGGAGACACTGACGAAAATATTCTACACCATCACGACTTAATGTCGTATGTCTAAGTTCACTCACGCCGCTCCCGAAGACAAAAACTGAAAACGAACGGGGGCCTGATCGAAAGTAAGAATGTGGCATCGATGCCGATGTCTTGAAAACATTGACGATTCTATACAAAAATCGATGATTTAAACATTGCTATATCGCTGTCGATGTTTTGTGCTTGACGTTTTTACGTTTTCGATGTTTTATTCGTGGGTGAAAAATTCCTACAATCACAATTTTGTAAAACTTAAAGTACGAAATAATAACGAAGGGTACCTTTAGGTCTTAGTATCCGAACCACAGAAACAGGGTTTGTAACTGCCTTCTTCGAGTATATATCCGGAGATCATCCCGATGCCTTGATATTTCGTTCCTCTTTCTTTGTATTTCGCACGTGAAGAGACGCTTTTCAAGCTTTGCTTTCAATTAAATTTTAATTATAAACTAATGTACACCACCATTGTCAAAGTAAATTTTGTTGCACATGAATTTAATGTTAAACGTTACTAAAACAGCTGTAAAATATCAATGAATTTTCGTCGATGTATTACTAACATCCATGTTTTGTTATCCATGTCGCGTCACTAATCAAAAGATACGGAGGGGCGCATGCGGCCCGCGCGCAGGGGTGGCCCACGTATGATCTAGACCAGGGTTGCCCAACTGGC